AAACATTTCTTTGTAGACAAATCAGTTGTCTCATCCACAATGAGGGAAAATTTTGACGATTTTAATTTACATACGATTTTATCTTTGGCTTTGTTGCCCAAAATGTCAGCAATTTCGGTTGACTTCGTTCTGCCACATTGAATAGCCGCAGCAATTTTAGAGTCAGGGCAACACTCCTTTAGAAGCGCTGGTAAAAATTTCATAAGAAGGAATGGTAAGTTATGGCAAATAAGGAACATGACAAGTGTTAGCTCAGCGTATTTTATTTACTTGTCTAGATAGCGCTATTTCTTCGCTACTCAAAAGCTTTTGGATTTGTATTTGTTTTTTCTTTTTTTCCACGTTTTGCAAATGTACGGCCAAGGAACCATGTTTCTTTAAATAAGTGACATGGTTCGACAACTTTTTGTCGCAAGCCATACAATGGCTTGCCCCATTGACATTTTGCAACCAAGGAAATTGGTCTAGCCATGCATGGCGAAATTTTCTTGCTGCGACTTTTTTCTTACTACGTTGCTGTCTGTATATTATAAAACAAATACAATAAGTAATATTAATACATTCATTTCAAATAATCTTACTTGGTTTCACTGCTGGGGCTGCCACTGCTGCTGCTACTCTCCACAACCTAAACAGGTGTAGCTGGCCTATGTCTTATCACGAACCTAATTTAAAAGATTTTTAGAAATACATATTATACAAAATAAAACCAAAATTGTGTATTTTCTGCTCACTTATCCATAGCAATGAGCCCGTATAAATTTACTTGAAACACCAATTTTACGCGGAATTCTAATAACTTTTCGCGGCTTTTAAATGATTCTCTTATTATTCAAATGTCATTTCACGTACATATGTGTGTGCAAAGAACATAGAGATGGTGCAACTGCCGGGCCGTTTCAAAAACTTGGCGATTAAATCACCACGATTTATTAAAGACACGAACCGATAGTTGCACCCTCGAACTTTTACATGTTCTTTTGCATATGTAAACACATGATTATTATCGAAATAAGTCGAATCTTGAGTTGCCATTCTAGTAGTAATACCTTTATTTAAATAACCATATTCAGCAGAATAAATGTATTTGTTTATACTATTTTTCAAAGATTTAAGTATTTTACGTATACAAAAATTAAAAACTACAGTAAATATTANAAATAAGTCGAATCTTGAGTTGCCATTTTAGTAGTAATACCTTTATTTAAATAACCATATTCAGCAGAATAAATGTATTTGTTTATACTATTTTTCAAAGATTTAAGTATTTTACTTATACAAAAATTAAAAACTACAGTAAATATTAAAAAATAACCAAAATGGGAAAGATCTTAACAACTTCATAGGCAAGAAAAAAATATCCAAAATTGGTTAAAAGTAACCAAAACGGCAACACTGTNTGTTTATACTATTTTTCAAAGATTTAAGTATTTTACGTATACAAAAATTAAAAACTACAGTAAATATTAAAAAATAACAAAATGGGAAAGATCTTAACAACTTCACAGGCAAGAAAAAAATAACCAAAATTGGTTAAAAGTAGCCAAAACGGCAACACTGCTTGTTCAATTCGATGAAAACCGTTGTTATTGTGGCGAAGATGGAACCAAAGTAAAACTTTACGCACTTTTGGTGCAACTTTGTTGATACCGCATATAAAGATCACAAAAGCCATTCTGCGGGCACGTAGAATGGGACGCGTTTCTTTGCCAGGCGGCGCATTTTCATCTCACGGCGTCCATCAGGAGATATTTATTTATTTTAGTTTACGCTTGATCAGGGTAGCACGTTTGCTAACCTGCTTCTTGCTTAACTTCATCTTCGACTCGGGGACAGCAGGCAGCTTCCTGAAATGTAGTTTTCCCTTTGCTTCGGGCTTCTTACCGACCGTGGTGGCAGTCATCTTATCTTGTCACTTAGCACGTTGAGAAGGCGAAAAAAAACGCCACTCGATTTATAACATTTCTATCAAACACGATTTAATTTCTTACTTTTTTAATACATAGATATGCTGCAACCAAGCACTTACTTTCCCAAATTCCATCTTGCTTATAGGCATAATTTTCCAAATGTGCCTGAGATGCTACTTCATACTAATAACTTCATTTTCCAACTTCAACATATCCTAAAAAGACATAAAATTTACATTAAACAATAGAAATCGCAAAAATTGGAAAATAAAATACTTTCTTCATTTTGTTTTGTTGTCAAATTTCTGAAAAATGTGAATTCACCACGATGCAATACAGAAAGAACAAGGACCAGGGTTGTAATTTTAAGTCTTCAGTGGCAATGCGCAGAGCGTTCCGAGTAGCAAAATTAATTTGTATCAAATATAACATTAAACGGTGGTGCATGTTGTCGCGACTATCGATAGTGGGCGATATTTTTTTAAACAATCGATAGTCGCCAATTTTGAAAAATATAAAAATATAATTGGGGCGTATTCATAGTTAAAATTAAGTTGGTACTTAAAGTTGGTTGTAACTTTATTGACGGATAATCCATCCAAAATTATGTCAAAAAGCTACAACTAACTTTAAGTACCAACTTAATTTTGACTATGAATACGCCCAATTGGGTTAGATATAGTTTTTTAAAGACCATAACGACCTACCTTAATAATGAATGTATGATTGAAAAAACTAAACATATTTACGTATTCCGCTTTCTAAAGCTATTTGTTTTTATATAAGAAACATAGCATGTCAACATTTTTAGGGTTTAGTTGCGATATTTTTTCGTTTACCATTAAAGCTGCTTTACTGTACATTCGTTCCGATTTTACTGATGACGCACAGTGGGACGTCCCCATATAAGCTACGACCAAAAGTAGTAACCGTACTAGAAATTCGCTGAAATTTCGTATATGGGCTATTAGGCACTTAAAAATGAAGGCATTTGGAAAATGGTGAAATTCAACGCGTTACCACGCCCACAGTTCTTATGGGCGGAAATAGTAAATGTTATCCGATTTTGATCAAATTCGGAGCATATTCTAGATCTAACGAAAAAAGCATAAATCTGAAAGACCGTCAAAATCGGTTTACATTATCGTCCAGTACTTCTAGAAAAACAGGCGCAAATTAAAAAAAAAAAACATATTGTTTGGTAAAATTCGGTGTGCCCTGCTCTATTAAGCCAAAATTTTCCAACTTGGAAGATAATAAAGAATTTGTTATTACGGCGCCCACCTCCTTTCTTGGCTCCAAGTACTAAATTGTATGAATTTTGGAGGAAATGAAGAGGCCCCTTTTTTTTATTTCTAAAGAAGTAACTATTTCTTAGTTTTAAAAATGACAAAACGAAAACATTTACAGTACCCATTCTAAGTTATGTGCACGATATGTATTTTCATTGAAACTTTCACTTTTAACTACATTTTATACAGCAAAAGCTGAGCTGAGGCAATCAGGACTCTTGCCATAGAAAACGGATTTCGTCCAGAGAAGCGTCCATTTTTGGCTGAATGTTGAATGTGATTAATAGATAGACGGGTCACTAATATCTAAACCTACTTCAATTTCCATTTTCCATTACATATATTTATTTTATGTACATATCAGAGTCCTTCTCTTCAGCTCTACAATAAAAATTCAATAAATTTTACAGGAGATGGGTCTATAAAAGGAGGAATAGAAGCTGAACTCGCAGCTCTCGCAGCTGGAACAATTTGAGATATGACACGCATATTTAACGTTTACTTGTCCTAAGTATAATTAAGCTCGCTTCCTAGGTCCTTTTTAAAATATCTCTTCTTAAAGTAAGCACTCGAAAAATTTTATACTCACAAAATTATGTAGAATTTCCACCGTTTTATGCATTACAAAAGATTTATAAAAATTTAAATCAATGCTTGACCACAGAAATTCAAAAAAAAAAATTTATAAATTATTTGCGTCAAAATCAAAATTTTTTCTCACAAAATTATTTTTTCGCATTGTTCCTATTTTAAGCTAGTGTCATGATTGCAAATATGCATTTTTATTAAAAATTCTTTTTGGTTTGGGTTATCTGGATATTTTGTTATGTATCTGTGTAATTACTTTATCAGAATGCGCTAATCAGTTTTTACTATTTTTGGCCGCTGTAGTCCCATTGTGCGATGTTAGACCAACATAGTTACCAAATATTATTTAATATAAAAGTATTGCCGCTTTAAACAATGCACATTCACCATTTTTATGTCTTAAATTTGGAAAATTTTCGATAGTGAAAATACTCGATAGTTTTTAAAAACTATCGATAGTGAAAAAACCAAAACCATCGATAGTGTCGATAGCGCCATCGACAGTTTTCCACCACTACCACGAACACAATGGAAGGACCAAGTGCAGAAGGACCTGTCCGAACTTGGGATAAACAACTGGCGCAAATCTGCAAAGGAGAGAGGCAACTGGCGAAGTTTTTTGTTGTCGGCCTAAACCGACAAACGGTTGTAGTGCCAAATAAAAAGAAGATAAGCAAAATTGTACAGAATTTCAAATCACTTTAGCCAATTATGTTTCGAGCAGAGCTTTTTAGAGCCATTTCAGTTTTCAAAAAACATGGATATTTTTGATGCATCGATAATTTTCCGACATCCCTACCTTTATCTTGAATTTCCATTACAGAGCTCCTTGAATAAATTCCACGATCTTCACAAATAAATATAAAAAAGTGAGAAGTAATGAGTCACTGAAAACACGATTCACAATGAAAATGTTATTTGTCAACTTTCGAGAGTTAGGATTTATATCGCGAAAAAATTTTAACTGTAATGAGGTACCACCACAAAACATTACTATACAAGCTAGACAATCTGCATATATTTGAGTTTTGACCGCCAGTTGAACCACTGTGTACCCCCAAAACATATGTACATCAACAATTACGTTTAAAGCCAAACAATTAGGTATAAGACAGCGAAGATTAGAAGGTATTATTTTAATTATCTCTACACTAAAGTTAGATACAAATTTAGCTTTTTTAAATCAAAATTATTATTTCTAATTCCAGAAAAAACTTGAAGATGTTAAAAGGAATACAGACTACATTGACCTTTCATCATAATGGAAACATAGATGTCTTAACCAGCTGCTAAACGGATTCAAAAATATAAAAATTCAAAAATGCCTTATTCGTTACGGCATCCACAAAAACCCGACCACGAAATTTCCGAATACAGCTATTCACAATGGAATAGTGTACTCTTACGGAACAACGAGGCGAACATCTGCTCCGCCAAAAGAATAGCACCCGTTGGGACTTGCTCAATATATACTCGCAAAGCTCACGCTCAAATACTGTCTTTATACCAGCAAGCAAATTCATACAGACGACTATTTAACGCGTCCTTCTTACTGATATCATTGTGCTTGCTCTTCGCCGCAACCACCATAGCCGAGCATGTGCGCGAGCTTGAAGTATCCGAAGGTGTGCCCATTGGACACCAGATTGGCTTTATTGGGGAATTCTCTCACGGGATGGATAGTGGCCCACCCTATCTTATAGTGCCGGTACCGGGTAGTGCTGTGGACACCGATCTAGCTATTGATCACACGACCGGTGATATACGGACTAAGGTGTATTTGGATCGTGAGTCTCGTGCGTCCTATAGCTTGGTGGCTATACCTTTAAGTGGAGAAAATGTGCGTGTAGTGCTGCGAGTGTTGGATGAAAATGACAATGCGCCGACTTTTCCACAACCGGTAATGAATATCGAGTTTCCCGAAAATACGCCGCGAGATGTGAAAAGAACGTTGAATCCTGCTCGTGATCTAGACCTCGGTCAATACAATACACAACGTTACAATATCGTATCCGGTAATTTTAATAATGCATTCCGTCTATCGTCTCATCGCGAGCGTGACGGCGTGCTTTACCTGGACTTGCAGATTAACGGATTTCTCGATCGCGAAACGACCCCGGCTTATACTTTGGTAATTGAGGCGTTAGACGGTGGAAGTCCACCATTACGTGGACAGATGACTGTTAACATTACTATACAAGATGTCAACGACAACCAGCCAATATTCAATCAGAGTCGTTACTTCGCTACTGTATCGGAGAATGCCACTGTTGGAACGAGTGTATTGCAAGTGTGTGCCACAGATATAGATTCCGATGAAAATGGGCTGGTGGAGTATTCCATAAATCGGCGACAGAGTGATAAAGAACAAATCTTTCGTATCGATTCGCAAACTGGTTTGATTTCAGTGAATAAACCTCTGGATTTCGAGACGAAGGAGCTACACGAGCTTGTTGTGGTTGCAAAAGACCAGGGCGAGCAATCACTAGAAACCACCGCATTTGTGTCTATACGAGTAACAGATGTCAATGATAATCTCCCGTCGATCAATGTTATTTTCCTTAGCGACGACGCAACGCCCAAGATTTCGGAGTCGGCAAAACCCGGTGAGATTGTGGCGCGTATTTCTGTCAATGATCCAGATTCAAAGGCCGAATACTCGAACGTAAATGTTACTCTTAATGGTGGCGATGGGCACTTTGGGCTCAGTACACGTGACAACATCATCTATTTGGTGATCGTCTCCCAACCTCTTGATCGTGAGTCTCAGTCGAACTATACGCTTAGTGTTGTGGCCACAGATAATGGCACACCGCCATTGCATGCCTCGAAAACTATATATCTACGCGTAACAGATATTAACGATAATGCGCCGGAGTTTGAGCATGAAGTGTACGATGCCAATGTGATGGAAGTGGCCGATCCTGGAACATCTGTTTTAAAAGTGACTGCATTTGATCGCGACGAGGGAAATAATTCCGCAGTGCTTTACGCGCTTGCTGATACATCAGAAACACACGCCGAATGGTTTCAGATTGATCGACATACGGGGTTGATAACTACGCGCTCGCAAATTGACTGTGAAACCGAGCCCGTTCCGCAGCTGACGGTTGTAGCTAAAGACAATGGACACCCACCACTCTCATCCACAGCTACAGTGCTTGTAACCATACATGATGTCAACGATAATGAACCGATTTTTGATCAGAGCTTTTACAATGTTTCGGTAGCGGAAAATGAACCCGTTGGACGGTGCATTCTAAAGGTAAGTGTAGATGTCGATAGTTAACAGTAAATGTGATTTGCGTGAAGTGAAATTAGAAAGTGAGGTACAGTTTTCGAAATGGAAAACTCCGCAGCTTTCTTAAAAAGCGCTAATGTCACAAGCTGACGATGAACCAAGGTTGCTTTGTTAGTTAGGATATAAAAAGGCGCGCGCAGCACCGTAAACGTGAAAGAAGTGAAACTTCTTAAAAAAGGTGTTAGTACCAATGTGTACGGTACGGCAAAGCATTCGGCGATTGAGTTACATATGTACATACATATGCAGTTTAGGGTAAAAATTAAACATTAATTTCATTTGATTTTGCTGATCTAAAATTTCATTATTCATTTTCAATTTCAATTGAAAATCCGGTAACACTGCCTTATATGAGTTCGCCCTGCTAGCTAGCTGAACGGATAGAACTGTCACATAATTATCTATTATATGTTTAATAAATACAAATGTTTATACTGCACGTAAACGTAACGTAAAACTGAAGAATCTAAAATCACTAGATCCTTACGAATTCGCAGCTATTTGTTAACATTCGCCTCGTGCTTTATAACCAAGGCATTAAGCAACGTACGAACTTTTGTTTGCATTTATTTAAGTTGAAAGAAGACCAAGGCGAATTTATACAAGGTGGTAGTAAGAATACAACAACAACAACCACATATATTTTTTATTACGGGTGTTGTGTCAAATCTGTAAAAGCAAAAACAAAATACATGTAAGGCTAAGAAATCACCTGATCAAAGAACACCACCTTGTATAAATTCGCCTTGAAAGCAGACAAATTCCTTTTTTTCGGTATCTCCTCTTTCTCGCCTTCTCTTTGCATAACGTTGTATTCTATCCAAGACGAATTCATATATTCTAATCTCGAATTCAATATTCATGTGGTAGCAACAGTATCTTATATATAAAAATTTATTTTTTGGTGTGACCTCATAACTTGAGAACGGCTGCACCGAATTTAACCAAATTTATGCAGAATATTCAGGCTATTATGCAGATGCTTTATGTGAAGTTTTCCCGAATTCGGAAAAGGGGGCGTGGCACCACCCATACTAACTAAAATATAAAAAAGTGCACGTTTTTGGTGTGCCTCATAACTTGAGAACGGCTTCACCAAATTGAACAAAATTTATAGGGAATATTCGGGCTATCATGCAGATAGTTTATGTGAAGTTTTCCTGAATTCGGAAAAAAGGGGGTGGCACCTCTATTCTTATATATAAAAATAAGTGTTTTAGCTTATAACTTGAGAACAGCTTCACAGAATTCAAACGAATTTATATAGCATATTCGAGCCATGATGCAGATAGTTTATGTGAAGTTTGCGCAAAATTTGGATAAGGGGCATAGCACCTCTATCTTATATATAAAAATAAGTACACGTTTTTGGTGTGACTTCATAACATGAGATCGGCTTCACCGAATTCAACCACACTTATGCAGCATATTCGGGCTATCAAGCAGATGGTTTATGTAAAGTTTTCCCGAAATTTTTATGTTGTATATCTCTTGAAATATTAGTGGTAGAGTAACGGAAATTAGTATAGAGATATATGAAATAATTCCATAATCATGCAGAAAAATGGGCAGTATGGGCAAATTTTGATTATTTGGAAAAGCTGACGAACGACGCGCGCGAAAAGTTGACAGTTGGCCATCTTTCTGCGTTGTGTTGGCGTTGGCGTTGCCCAACTTTGGTTATGTGGAGACTTTCATATAAATGCTTGTATTCATAATCAGCTGTCGAAGCGACGCCAACGCCAACGCAACGCCAAAGTTGTATGTAAAAGGGCCTTAACTATAAAGGAAGCATCCAAGTAGTATAGTTATGCCGATGGTTTGCTGCTTGCACCGGTCCAGAACCGCTATACGGTTTGCTGGTGCTCTGCCGCAAGCTTTGCTGCTCCGCCAAAAGATGTCGCCGATCGTAATCCAAGTTCAGAACCCAGATAAAAGCCGCAAGATGTCGCTGGTGACAAATCTGAGTCCGGAACAGGAACCGATCACAGGGTGTTCCGCTGATGGAAATCCGAGAAATCCGATACCATTCAGAACCGGAATCGATCACAGGGTGTACCGTTGATGGAAAGCTGAGAAATCCGATACCATTCAGAACCGGAATCGATAACAGGGTGTACCGCTGATGGAAATCTAAGAAATCCGATACCAGGCGGTTTATATGTCGAAAATTAGTAAAGTGTGTTGGTATGCAGTCAGAAATATAAACAACCGTACATACGTACATATGTATATACATATATAGATGCTCCACCCCTAGAAAAGTGTGTTAATAATGTGTACATAGTTGATTGCTAAGTATTTAATATGTATGTGTATATATACATATATATGAATGGAAAGGTCTGTTGATGTTGATGATGAGAACAAATAAAATTTAATTTGAAATAAAAGAAGGTTTTATATTTACGTATTTATTTTGATAATAAGAATTTTAAACATAAATGTCCGCAATTATATGAATTATAGCTTTGCTGTTTATTATAGTTATATTTAATGTTTTTTCCTAAATACTTTATTATTTGCTTAGGAGGCTGTAAGTTTCCAAAGCTATCGAAGTAATCAATCTCATTATCGTTTTTCCAGTAAGCTACCCAATGCGTTCCTGGACCCTTTGAACTATCCAAATTTATTATTCCACATTCTCTCTTAAATGGTTTACGGGGTAAACTGTCACACATGAATACCCCTCTAAAATTTGGAATAAATTTTGAATACTTCTTTAAGTCTACATCAGTAAGAGGTCTTCTGGGTAGCTTCATTAAGAGTTTTTTTGGTATGGTTTTAAATATAATCCGAATCCCTTTTTATAAGGCTTTAAAAACATTCCTTTTCCCATTGAAATAGCTTCCATTGTATTATTATGACGTTTCGCCTCCAATAACTGCTCCTTTCCAGTTTTTCTGAACGTCTATAACCAACGTATATATACAAGGTGGTTTATATGTCGAAAATTGGTAAGGTGTATTGGTATACATATATCCATACGTATTCTCATACATACATCTATATGCAAACGTACATACATACATATGTATATACATATATAGATGCTCCACCCCTAGAAAAGTGTGTTAATAATGTTCACATAGTTAATTGCTAAGTATTTAATATGTATGTGTATATATACATATATATGAATGGAAAGGTCTGTTGATGTTGATGATGAGAACAAATAAAATTTAATTTGAAATAAAAGAAGGTTTTATATTTACTTATTTATTTTGATAATAAGAATTTTAAACATAAATGTCCGCAATTATATGAATTATAGCTTTGCTGTTTATTATAGTTATATTTAATGTTTTTTCCTAAATACTTTATTATTTGCTTAGGAGGCTGTAAGTTTCCAAAGCTATCGAAGTAATCAATCTCATTATCGTTTTTCCAGTAAGCTACCCAATGCGTTCCTGGACCCTTTGAACTATCCAAATTTATTATTCCACATTCTCTCTTAAATGGTTTACGGGGTAAAGTGTCACACATGAATACCCCTCTAAAATTTGGAATAAATTTTGAATACTTCTTTAAGTCTACATCAGTAAGAGGTCTTCTGGGTAGCTTCATTAAGAGTTTTTTTGGTATGGTTTTAAATATAATCCGAATCCCTTTTTATAAGGCTTTAAAAACATTCCTTTTCCCATTGAAATAGCTTCCATTGTATTATTATGACGTTTCGCCTCCAATAACTGCTCCTTTCCAGTTTTTATAGCATTGATTGTTTTAATAATTCCTGCTGTACCGCCAGATAGACTTCCAAGTGCTCCTAATGCTACGAATAAAGGCGCTAATGGGAGAAATCCTCCAGATTTAGGTAATGGTATTACACGTGGTGCTTTTATTATAGATTTTTTTCCTCTAAAAATATTATTTACAACCTTTCGTGAAATTTTAATTGCATCTTTTAAGTTATCACTTTTCTTTAAATTTTGTTTAGCACTTTTTAAAGCATGTTTGAAGAGATGATAACCAGTTTTTCCTCCCACTTTCTTAGTTTTACTATAAATGTTCCCCATACCGAATTTCGTTTTTGTCTTCATTATATTTGTAACTAACCAAGCATTTGTTTTCTCACTAAGATTGCTATCCTTCGCTTTAACTCTTTCCCAAGCCTTCTCAGTTAATTTTTTATCAGCAATATGTCGGTTATCTAAATCTTTATTATATAAATATGATATATCATGTTCTCTACAAGCAGTGTCTAGTAGATTAATCCCTCGATCTCCTCTTACTAAAAGTTTCCGTAGTTTCGTTCCAGGTTCACAAAATTGATAACTAGGCAAATGAAGTTCAATAGGAAGCTTATTAATTATATTATTTATAAAACCTTTTCCAACGACTAACGATTTAAGAATAAGCCTATTTTCATAAATAACTCTCATATAAAATAATATTATATTCAAATAAACGCTGAAGCTTTTTAATAAATTTATGGTTCTATATAATTAAATTTTAAATTTCTAAATACTAATTCAACAGTTAAGTTATATTCAAATACAATATTATTATGTGATTTAGAATAAACTTCTATATCATATATCGCTTCCCTATTTGTTGTACTATAATACCTTAACTTAGTCTTAATATCTAAACCCCTTCTTTTATATTCATGTTGGTTTTGGTGTTGCTCCATAATATACTCCTCAATTTCAACGCCAACCACTGTTAAAAATTTGCTATTGTCATCCTCTTCATCCCATTTTTTGTTAAAAAAAAAATGGGCTGCTCTGACTGGGATGCCCAAAACCTGTAACCGGGGACCCTCATCTTCATCTTCAATACATATATAAGGGTTTTTCATGTCTTCAAAGCACAACATCTCCAATTCAAAATCGAAGTTGTACTCTCCATGATGCTCGCTATTGAGGATTCGATTTACTCCAGGCATGATGTGTTTTAGTAGCTTTAAACAAAGTAATAATTTCTAATGTACAGTATTAGCTTATTTATACACATTTCATAAC